ATGGGTAAATCTACCTCCTAGAAACTCAGGTGAAAATGATTATGTTAGTCCAGAATGAGCAGGGAAAAATCGGAAATGAAAATTTTGTGGTGACCCTGCTGCTGGCCATGTGGGCACTGTACGCATGCGACTTGTTCCAACAGTTTCCTCTGCTCGCCCGCTGCAACCGCGCGCGCGCGTGTGTGCTTTTAATTGTCTACACAAGCGTGGCTATTATTTCGGCCTCGCCCGAGCATTGCCCGCAGCCAGGCGGTGGCTGGCTGGCTCGCAGCGTCGTTGCCTGACAGGCTGCCTGGCTGCCTACCTGGCTGCCTGCCTGGCTGCCTGCCTGGCTGCCTACCTGGCTGCCTGCCTGGCTGCCTACCTGGCTGCCTGCCTGGCTGCCTACCTGGCTGCCTGCCTGGCTGCCTGCCTGGCTGCCTACCTGGCTGCCTGCCTACCTGGCTGCCTGCCTGGCTGCCTGCCTGGCTGCCTGCCTGGCTGCCTACCTGGCTGCCTACCTGGCTGCCTACCTGGCTGCCTGCCTGGCTGCCTGCCTGGCTGCCTGCCTGGCTGCCTACCTGGCTGCCTACCTGGCTGCCTACCTGGCTGCCTGCCTGGCTGCCTGCCTGGCTGCCTGCCTGCCTGGCCGCCTGGAACTCCGGAAGGAGTGACGCGGCGTCAGTGCCAGGGTTACGGCGCGGCGGCACACGCCAACGGCAAATTGTGGCGAATTACCTTGGCGGAGGTCGAGCGCGGCGCGGTGCGCTGGCAGGCATGCGGCATGCCCCGCACCAGTGTATCAGCGGCCTGCACGTGCCCGCCAATGGGATGCACTCAGTGTATGTGAATTTTTTCGATGCGTCGACTGTACACTGGCAACAGGCACGTCACGCCGCCTGAATAGAGGCAAAAGGTGGCATTGCCCCCTCCGAGAAACAATTCAAGAGCCGCTCTCTGGTACTCGAGTGATTGAGGGTATCGAAGAGTACTTATACCCCTCTAGGGCGGCCCGATGAGCCCTTCTGAGGTGTTTCTCAGGCCTGCCTTTCCGAGTCCCTCCATACTTCTTGGGCGTCAGCCTTCGCTGCCCTCTGAGAGGTCGCTCCTTCCGTCCGTGCGCTACCACTGGGCACCTTGTCGACGGGGTTGCTCGCGGAGGGAGGCCGGGATGGAGTGGTTGTTACGTAAAGGGAAAACTGGTGCCGCGGAAGTGCGCTCTCCTCGCGGGTCTCCCCTTTGTGCGCTTGTAATGAGCTCCGCTTTATGTAGATTTAATCTCCCCCGCGCCCCGCCCGGCCCGCCGACGACGGCGCCCTACCGGCGCACCGGCCGCCGGGGAAATCGGACGCGTTTCGGCGCGAAAACGGACAGAATGCAGAGGCGTCGCGCAGTGGGCCAGAAGACGGGTGGAGGCGGCCAAAACTCGATAGGCTTTTTGAGCTCCAGCGTCGCTATACAGGAGTCGAACCAAACGTGTGACCCCAGCAATGGATTCCTCGTTTGGAGAGCAATCCATTGGTGGGGTCTCACGTTCGGTTCGAGTCCTGTTTAGCGACTCTGGAGGTCAAAACGCGTCTAGAATTTTAGCCGCCTCTACCAATCTTCTGGCCTGCTGTGCGTCGTTTCGTCGCTCTCACGGGGCTCTCCACTCCCGAGGGTGCGAGAGAGACAGAGCGACGAACCGCTTTTCTTCCGGGCGCTTTCCGGGTGTCGCCGGCAGCATCGGCCCGCGTGTGTCACGGCGCCGGGGAGAGCAGAGCGAGAGAGCGCGGGGAGAGCAGCAGCCGCTGCAGCTAATGCAGCCGGAGAGAGAGTGAGAGAGAAGAGATTGCTGTAAGGCAGAGCCCTGCTTGTCAGGTCTCTCTCTCTCTCTCTCTCTCTCTCTCTCTCTCTCTCTCTCTCTCTGTGCGTTTGCTCGTGGAAAGCGTGCCGCTTGGCGAGACCTGCATCGATTGAAAGTAAAGCAGGTGGTGCACCCGCGTTGCGTGTCGTGCCGTGTGTTTGTCGACGCGGTGGTGCGCTGCGGCCTGCAAGCCCGGCCTGTTGTGCCGACAGCACGGGGGCGGATCCAGACCCGACCTGAGGAAGGGGGGAAGTTGAACTTTTTGCTTACGTCCGGGGGCTTTTTGCGCACCGTTCAGGCGGCTAAGTCCAGGGTAGGTCAGTTGTCCTTTTGCGCCCCTACTACTGGATCCGCGCGCTTTGCGCGCCATGTCGGTGCACTGTTGGACTCGAAGACTCGCGGTGTGTGCCTGGAGGCGCGGCAAGCCGAACTCTGACCCGTCGTCGTGTCGTCGATGACCCCGCTTTCGTCGTGCTCGCGGCCTGCCTGCAGTGAGGCTGCAGCAGACTGATTCCGAGAGTCGTTCACGTCACCCTGTCTCTCCCTCGCACTCATGAGGCGTCCCGTATCGGGTGCGAGAGAGACAGGGCGACGAAAACGACTCTCGGAATCGGTCCGCGCAGAGTTCGGCAGCTTCTCTCCGGCGGCGCACAGTGGGCCAGAAGACCGGTGGAGGCGGCCAAAATTCCAGACGCATTTTGAACTTCTGATTTTTTAAATGGAACTCGAATTGAACGTGTGACCCCACCAATGGATTCCTCGTTCGGAGAGCAATCCATTGGTGGGGTCACACGTTCGGTTTGAGGCCCACTTAGCGACTCTGGACTTCAAACGCGTCTAGAGTTTTGGCCGCCTCACCGGTCTTCTGGCCCACTGTGCGGCGCGGCGGCCGCGTTTTGGCGCGGCCCGTGCCCCGCTCCTCCCCGCTCCTCCCGTGGACGCGTGCCGCGGTTTCACTGCATTGATTATGCAAAAGCGTTGCGCCAGCGGATGGCCCGGTGTTTCTCTTTCTCCGCGAGAGCTGAGCCGAGCCCCGGCCGCTCCGGGCCGTGCCCGCCTGCGCCAGCCTGCGCCACTACGGCGGGGGGCGACGGTGACGACGGCTGCACTTTTCACTCCGAAAGAGAGTGTGGGAAGAGTGGCCCCCGCCTCCCCCCTTTCCCCGCTTTTCCTCTCCCCGCCGCGCGGCCCGCGAGTGAGTCCTTTGCTGGACGCAGGGCGCAGCAGGGCCTCGCAGGGGGCGGTGAGAGGGGAAGGGAGCGCCCGGTTTCATGCTGTAACTTTGTGCAACTTTGTCGCGTTTGCCCTGACTGTGTGTGTGTGTGGCCTTTCTCCGCCACTGCACCCTTCCACAGTGGGCCAGAAAACCGGCGCCGGCGGACAAAACAGTAGACGCGTTTTGAGCTCCAGACTTGCT